AAAAACCAAAAACGAAAAAAAAAAATTTTTTTTTCTTTTCTTTTTCGTGTCACCATTAAACAACGCGTTACCGGGTCATTTTCTTTCTTTCTTTTTTTTTTTTTTCTTCGTAAAATAATAGTGATGATGATGATGATGATGGTAATAATAATAATAATAATAGCTCTCTCAATTGTGATTTTAAAAAAAAAAAAAAATTTTTTTTTATTCTTCGAATCCGACAATGAAAAAAAAAAAAAAAAAAAAATGACAAAATTAAATTAATTGAACGCCATAGAAAAAAGAATGTCAATTTGTCATCGAAAATGATTATTATCATTATTATTATTATTATTTAAAGGAAAAATTCAATATCATTATTATTATTAATACTACTACGAGTGAGTATTTGCGGTTTTGTGCGTGCGTGCATGTTTGCCTTTACGTTTGCGTATGTTGCATTCTTTATGCGTGCTTTAGCGAGTGCGTGAGTGCGAGAGAGAGAGCGAGAGAGAGAGAGAGAGGGAGGGGGATAGGGGGGGGGGGTGGTAGAGAGAAGGATGGAAAATGAAATGCCTAAAGGTATTGCCATCACGACAACAAGTACCGCTTCTTTGAAAGATGAGTCCTAATGACCTTTAGTCACCGTCCGTGCAACAATCCACAGTTTATAACCTTTTTGACTCTATGGGAACAAACTTATTAACAGAGATCTTATAAGATCTAAGAATAATAACGTGGTATATAAAATACAACAAAAAAAAAAAAATTCGCAATGTGATAATAATAATAATAATAATAATACTAAACGTTGACCAAAAAAAAAACAAAACAATTTGTAAAAAAATACCTTCAAGTTATTATTATCATTATCATTATCATTATCATTTAATAAATAAATAAATAAATAAATTTTAAACGCGTTCGAAATTAGGGCGTGAAAAATTTTTTTTTTTTTTATTCGTATTCGTATTGCTATCGCCAAAAGAAATTTTCTTCTCCACCCATTCGGAAAAGAGAAAAAAAAATTTTCTCTTAATTTCGATAATGTTCCACGATAATAATGATAATGATAATAATAATAATGAAATAAATGAATGAATGAACGTAACTAAAAATTTATTTTATAATAGGACCGCGGTACGTAAAGTTAAAAAATTATCTAATCATTGTAATAAATACCATCATGAGAACAATCAACAACAACAACAACCAAAACCAAAACAAAAACATTAAAAAAAAAAAAAAAAATGTCCTCGAGGGGGTTAAAACCAAACTAATGTGAAAGAAATTTTTTTTCTGTAGAATTTCAAAGATCAAAAACCAAAAAAAAAAAAAAAAATTCGTTTTTTGAATATTAAAATGCAATTTATATTATATATGTATTTAACGATGGGGCGATGGGGCGTTCAAATATTCATTTTTTTTTTTTTTCGTCTTTTCCATTTTTCATTTTGCCAAAATGATGAATTATGGGGGGATCACGGGGAGAAGGGGAAAGAGAGAAAGAGAGAATAATAAATAAATAAAATTAAAATTTCGTCCTTTGCGTTTACCACCGGATGTAACGTCTCTAATTCGTTTTTTTTTTTTTTTTTTTTTTTTGAAAAATAGAGTAACAAAAAAAAAATCATAGAGATATAATTTTTATAAACTACGTGTCCCGGGTAAAATGTGAATCCCCATGAAATCAAACGTTTTAAAATTCGGTATTCGGTTTTTAAAAGAGGAGGGGATAATAAAAATAACCAATAACGTTTAAAACGGGAGGAGAAACGGGAAAAAAAATTTAACTTTTTTTTTTTCTTAAAACTGTAAATTAATAATAAAATTATTACGATATGAGGGGGGCAAGGAAGGAATAGCCACCTCCTCTCTTCCTTAGGGAAACACAAAAACCACCCATGATGATGATGATGATGATTCGACAATGAAATTAACAAAAAAAAAAAAAAGTGGAAGAAGAAGAATTTTTTTTTTGAAGATGTGTTTTTATTTATTTTTTGTATCATTCTCACCGCGAGATTTATTTATTCTCTCACACACACACACACACACAAAGTAAAATTTAATTGCGATTTCTTTTTTTTTTTTTTTTTTTTAATTTAATTATATTCAATGAATCGTATAAAATCAAATAATAATAATAATAATAATAATAGTAATAATGATGATAATATTAACGTTTGATTTTTATATTTTAAAACCCCTTTTCGAGAACATAACAATAATAATAATTATATAATAAAGGGTTAGTGAAACGTTACATAAACCTTAAAAAAAAAAAAAGGTCGTATGAGGAGGAGTTTCGTTCTATTTAGATAAAATCAATAAATTCGTAAAACCTGAGTGATAACAACATCAGTGATAAAGAAAACTTTAGGGGGAGTCACGTGACGAAAAAGATTTTTAAATAAATAAAATTTTCCGATAGGAAATTCGACGTCAATTTTTTTATTACACATCCCCTCATCAGAAGAAAAAAATTTTTCTTTTCACTTCTTTTTTTTTCTTTTTTAAATTATCATTATTATTATTATTATCATTATTTTTTAACGTTCGATATGTATTGTGTTATTATTAATTTAGTCGTTTATTGAATAGAAATCGATTTTTTTTTTTTTTTTTCAAATACTACCCATGACAGTGCCACTTAACCACTTTAAATTTCGTTATTTAATTTTGCACAAAATTTATTATTATTATTATTATTATCACCATTATTATTATTTGTATTGCGGCTTTGTAATTTTTTACGATGACGTTTTCCTCTCCCTCTCTCTCTTTTTCTCTCTCTCTAATTTAAATGACAAAAAAAAAATTTTTTTTTTATTATTCTAGTATGAATTTGTAAATAAATTTAAATTTCGTTCGAATATGAATAATGAATAATAATAATAATAATAATAGTAATAATAATAATAATAATAATAAAATGTTATTCGTTCCCTGAATTATTATTATTATTATTATTATTATTATCGTCATCGCAATCATTCCTCCTTGATCCTTAGAATTTGACTTTACATTATTATATTTATCATATCGTAATATAAATATCATTTACTAAAGCTAAAGTTAAACAATAAATTTCTCTCTCTCTCTCTCTCTCTCTCTCTCTCTCTCTCTCTCTCGCTAACACCGGGAGAAGGAAAAATTCCAGAAAAAAAATTTTTTTTATTTTTACGATTGATTGATTGATTGATTTATATAATATTCGAACAAGAAAACGCGCTAAAAAAAATTAAAGAAAATTAATAAAAATTAATTAATTATCAAACAAATAAATAAATCATTACGAAAAAAAATAATAATAATAGTAATAATAATAATAATAATAATAATAATAATAATAATAATAATAAAAATTAATTTTCAATAATTTTTCCTCATTTTTCCTATTAATTTATGCCATTATTATTATTACCATTAATGCCGTTTTCCCTTCCTTTTTCCATCATAATTTTATTGACGTTTTTTTAATAATAATAATAATAACGACGACAACGACGATTTACGTTTATTTATTTTTTTTTAAATAACAATAATAATAATAATAACTTAAAATTTATATCGTAAATCAAAAAAACATTTCATTATTACTCGGTTAAAAATTATTATTATTATTATTATTATTATTATCGCGTCGTCTACTACATTGTTTTTTAATAGTTCACCAATGATAGTACATTAAAAAAAAAAAAAGTGGGATGATAATGATGATGATGATGATGATGATGATAACATTTAATAAAATGACAAGGTGAAACAAAAACAAAAAATTTTTAAGGATATTTCGTAACCTTTTTCCAAATAATAATAATAATAATAATAATTACGAAATCGATTTAATATGTATCGATAAACAGTAGGAGAGGCGAGGTGGGGGGGGAATCGATGAAAACAACGTGTAATTAACGATATAAAAAAAATTTCTTTTATAACGTATTATCTCGCCGATCGTCGGTTGTATATTATATGGTAGCACATAAGAATTATGTAAAGGGGAGAGGGTGAGGGTTAAGGGGGGAGGAAAAGATGTTAAAAAGAATAATAATATTATCCGTTTGTATGTGATAAATATCCAATTAGATAAAATCACTTGATTAACATTGTCAGTTGTGTGTGTATATGTCCCGTAGATAATAATCACCCAAGCATTCACCAAAAAAAAAAAACAAACAATAAATAGTTAATAACTTGGCGGACATGTTTAAAAAAAAAACACAAAATGTTTATTATTATAATGCAAAACTAAATATGGTAAGTTAAACCGTGAGGTACAATGATGATGATGATGATGATGATGATGATAGATAACTCAAGTGAAAAAAAAAAAAAAAAAAAAATAGAAAGGTAAAAAAAACAAATCAACAATTAAATGTTCAATGTAAACTATGTTGAACGTGGAGGCAATAAACTAATGAAGAAGATGATGATGTTTTCTCTCTCTCTCTCTGTTCGCATTTTTTTTTTTTTTTTAAATTTAACCAGTTATGTCTTTTTCAACGATTTCCCTCCCTCCCCCAGAAAAAAATAAAAAGTTTCCGTTGTCGTCGTCATCGTCGTCAAAGTATCGATTTTTTTTTTGTAAATATGGCCGTTTACGTTACATAAGGTCGTAGATATGGTTTAAGTTATGTTTTATTACTTGTTTGCCTACATACGAAGATGAAGATGAAGAAGAAGAAGATTCATATAAAAAAAAATTCATTATTGCGGTAACCTTGTTCAAAGAGTCAAAGGGCAGGTAGTCTGATATTAACCATCACATATTTCACAAAAATGAATTTTTTTTTTTATCATTAATTTCAGTGATATTTGATTGCTGATGTTTTTTTTTCACTCTCTCTCTCTCTCTCTCCATCTATCTTTCTTTCTCTCTCACTCTTTTAATAGGTCTTTAATTAAAAAAATTATTGTACAACTTTAAAAAAAATAAATAAATATTGTGAAATACATAAATTATTATTATTTTTTTTTTAAAGGATTAATAATGCGTTATAAGAAGCTTTGATGCCATGGAAAGTGAATCGTCTTCACCTGGTATTGGATCTGCTTTGGGAAGGTGGTGGGGTCAAAGCCCACAATCTTCTTCTCCATCAACCGATGTGGTAAGAGACCTCTTAACACGTTTTTATTAAATAAAAATGTTAAACAAAACAAAAAAAAAACAATTTTTTTTTTTTTTTTAAATGTCATCAATCTTTAGATGAATCAATTATGTAGAGTTTGTGGGGAACCCGCTGCAGGTTTTCATTTTGGAGCTTTCACATGTGAAGGATGCAAGGTACGTACGCGTGACGAAGTGAAAATATTTTTAATGAATTATATTGAAAAGTAATATCGGTGGTTTTCTTTTTTAGTCTTTTTTCGGTAGAACGTATAACAATTTAGGTTCGATAACGGAATGCAAAAACAACGGAGAATGTGTGATAAATAAGAAAAACAGAACCGCGTGTAAGGCGTGTAGATTAAGAAAGTGTCTTCTAGTCGGTATGTCTAAAAGTGGTTCGAGGTACGGAAGAAGATCAAATTGGTTTAAAATCCATTGTCTTTTGCAAGAACAACAACAAGCGGGTGCTCATCCGCTAAAGGATAAATCCTCCGCGATCGCTCTCTGGGGTGAAAGTTATAAAAATCTAACGACTCCTCCGCATTTCGATACCGATTCGAAAGTATCACCGACTGAAGAAAGTATTTTGCTTAATAATAACAACGTGACAAAAGACAGAGAAAGGAGTCCGAATCCGGTGTTGCCTTCGTATTCGGCAGAAGCAGCCGCTGCTTTGTGGGCCGCACGTCATTCTCTTTTTCCTATGCAATTACCTCATCATCCCATGCCCTCGATACCCATGCCTTTCATGCCACCATTTGCAAATTTTTCACCCCCCACTCACTCACAATCTCAAAGAAACATTCTGTTACCATTCATGCAAACCCTTAATTCTTCCTCTTCCTCTTCTTCGCCGCCCGTGAGACCGAATCATCATCCTCCTATGATGATGTCATCATCATCATCGAGATCTTCGGAAGGTTCGATTTGTTCACAATCACCATCTCCGAATAGAAATAATCAAAGGAACAACGACGACGTCTCGCCGTCCACGATTCGTTTTACGGAAAAAACCGAAACGACCGTCGAAAAACGTTCGTCATTATCATCATCATCATCACCACCATCGGATAAATCTCCGACGAATAATAACAGACTGAGTGCGGTGAATTCGATAAAAGTTAAAAATCCTCCGTTACTGTTAGATAATCCGATCGAAATAACAAACGAACGTGTCGATGACGTCGCGTCGTCGAAAAAAATACAAACGGAAGAACATTCTCTCGCTCTTTTACGTTCTCTCGGACCCGTTCAAGATCAACCCATGGACTTATCCGTGAGAGTCATAGAAATAAAAAGCAGAAGAAAAAGTAGTAAAGTGAATCACAGAATCGCGAAAAACGAATATTATCATCATCATCATCGCGACGATGATAAAAACAATGAAAGCAGCGGCGAAGAAGGTGACGCTGTTAATGACGTCAAAAATGACGTTTTAGATTCAATTGAAAACAATGACGAAAATTTTAATAAAAGAAAAAATCCGTTAGATTTAACTAAATCTACTAAATTAGAAATTTAACAACAACAAAAATTTCGCAGACAAAAACGATCCGCCATTTTTTTTTTTACAGAAGCGTATTAAGGTTTTTAATCGAATACCAAAAAGAAAAATAATAAGAAAAAAAAGACATTTTTAAAAGGAAAATTAAAATTTTTTTTGTTAAATTATTATTTTTATTATCATTAAAGTTTTTTTTTGTTTTATCGATTAAAAAAATTATTATTATTATTATTACTCTATGCTCGTTACCTTATTTTTTATTATTATTATTATTTTTTTTTCTTATCATTTTTTCACACGCACATTTTTTTCTTAACGATATCAATTTCTTAATGGGTTTTCACGTCCAACAACTTAAATATAAATAAATAAATAAATTATTAATAGTTTTTTAATAGATTATTAAATTAAAACTAAAAGAGTAAAAACAATTTACATGTAAAAATATAATTTTTTATAGTCTTTTTATCGGATTATAGTTTTATAGTCTACTATATTATTATTATTATTATTATTATTATTATTATTATTATTATTATTATTATTATTATTAAACCCGCGTTTGAAATCAATTAGAAAAAAATAAATAAAACGTTTTTCTCGTTTTAATAATAATAGAGGAAGTCATTTTTTTTATCATTATTATTATTATTCGTTAAAATCCTCCTTTTATTTAGAAAAAATTTTTTTTTTTTTTTTTTTGAATATTTATTTAATAAATTTTAATAAATGCAAACGCGGCGTAACTCGATTTGTTACGCGGCGTAACAGGAGGAAAAACGAGGAAAATTAAACGAAAAAAATTAAAAAAAAATAAAAAAAAACACGAATGATTGTTGTCCGGCGTAAAATTACGTTACTTATGTAAAATCCACGGATTGTGCGTGCGTGTGTGCGTGCATGCGTGCGTGTGTGCGTGCATGCGTGCGTGTCTGCATACGTTTTTTAATGTTTAAAAAAAATTTAATTTAATTTTCGAATCGAATAAGAGAGAGAGAGAGAGAGAAAAGAAATGATGAGTACGAATATGTTGACGTTGACGACAACGACGACGACGACATCGACTACCACGATTATCATTATTATTATTATTATCATTATTATTATTACGTTGTGAAGTTAAAATCACTTTTAAAAAAAAAATTTGAATCATTTGAAAATTGTTTTGAGAGTTTATTGACTTGTTCAATAAACTTAACAAAACAATTCAAGTAAAAAAAGAAAAAAAAATTAGCCATAAAGGCGGAGAGAGAAGAGTTAAAATGTGAAAAACTAGTCTGGAAATTTGTTTAATTTTTTCAATTTATTTGTATTTTCCATTAATAAAATAAATAAATAACATTTTCCATATCCGGTCAACGAAATGATTTTTTTTTTTTTTAATATTACGTTTTGTTAATAAAAAATAAATAAATGGGAGCGGGGGGAGGGGAAGAAAAATAAAGAGAAAAAATAAAATTTCCCGAGTTTTTCATCGAATATTGTTTTGCTTTTCCCGTCGCCACCCCCCCCCCCTCCCCGAGATTTTTTTTCTCCTCGTGTCTTATCCTATTGGTTTATATTTATTATCATTGATAAGAAAAAATAATTACGCCGCGTTTATCCTCATCCAAATCACAACAAATAAAACGCGCGTAATTCACCGACAGGATAAAATTGCAATTGCCGCAATTTTTTTTTTTTTTACTATTTTAGCCAACCGATAATTTTATTTTCTTTTTCCATATCCTTTTCCGTTTGTTCTTCTGCCACGTCAATGAATTTTCTTCTAAATCGTCTTTTTATTTATTATAAAATTTAATTTTCAAATCGAACCACACAAAGAAAAAAAAAAAGGAAAAATTTACCCGGAACTCATCATTACAATATGCGTACGAAACAACACTCACAATCATCATCATCATTATCATCATTTTCATCCCGATCATCATCATCATTATTATCATCATCATTATTATCATCATCATTATTATCATCATCATTATTATTCTAATCGCAATTTGAACTATACAATTTTTATGACGAAAACTTTAACAAGCTCCAGTTTTGTTTATGTTGTGCACTTATAAACCAGTTGTTGTTGTTGTTGTTGTCGTCGTTGTCGTTGTTGCTTAATTGTTATTTATTTAAAGAAAAAAAAAACTTACGCAATAATAATAATAATAATAATAATAATAATAATAATAATAATAATAATAATAATAATAATAAATAATAATAATAATAATAATAATAATAATACTTAAAATAAAATAAAAAAAATTATCAATAAATTATTTAATTCAATTGATCTAAACTGTTCAATCACATCAATTAAATTACAATTTAATTTACATAATTTTTTATTTTTTTTTTTGCATTTTAAATGAAAAAAAAAATAAAATATAAAATAAAATAAAATAAAAACAAACCGGAAATTTAATGGAGATTTATTATTATTATTATTATTATTATTATTATTACTATTGTGGCAACAGTGGTGTGTGTGTGTGTGCATCGTTAAAAAAAAAATAAAATAAAAAAAAGTTCGAGATGATGATGATGATGAGACGAGTCACAAAAATAAAAATAAAAATCATCGATTAGAATTCGTTAAAAAAAAAAAAAAAAATCGATGGATCGATAAATTTCGTCTGCTAGTAAAAAAAATTTTTTTGGCGCTAATGGAAAGTAAACAAGACGAATTTAATATCGTGATTTTTTTTTTTTAGAAAAAAAAAAAATTTACAAGGTCGTTTTAATAAATGCAATTAATTAATCAAACCGATGATTAACAACAATTAAAAAAAAAAAAAAAGCGGTTTGCCGGCGGCGGTGGTGGTGGTGGTGGCGACGATGGCGGTTTCGGTGGTTACCATACGAATCCGCGTATAACGTAATAGGTCGCCTCCCTCTCCCCCCTTTCCCCCTCTCCCTCTCCCGCATCCATTTGTAATTATAGGGAGACTATTTATTATTAAAACTAATTCCTGGACTCGTACCCGTACCCGTACCCGTACTCGTACTCGTACAAACTAGAAGGGTGGACTTTTTAAAATAAGAGAGGAAAAGGTCAAGTTTAAAGAAAGAAGAATGGCTACGTAGGTTAGGTCAAAGGTTAAATAAAAAAAAAAAAAATATTAGTGAGAGGCAGATTTAAATCTATAACATTCGATTGCTTGTAAAACTGGCTCTTCTTCGCCCATTTTTTTTTTTCCTTTTTTTTCCTTCTAGAAAATTCTTTTTCTTTTTTTTTTCCTCAATCGATTTTTTAAAAATTTGGCGGAGTGTGGTCGTGCGTGTGGGGATAACACGTAAATTATTATTCTACTGTAAAATAATTTATTATAAATAAAAATAAAAAATTAACGATTGTGTGTGTTTATATATCCGCCATATTGGATAATTTAAATTTTTCATTTTATTTTTTTATTCTTTTCGAACCGTGTAATGTCAGAGTCATTTACTTATTTATTTAAATAAACGATTTTAATAAGATTCTATTAAATATTATCTATATTAATAATAATAATAATAATAATGATAATATTTATTAAACCGAAACAAAAAAAAAAAAATTTATTAATTTTATTAATGGGTTGCGTGTTTAATTGAAAGAAATTATGCATGACGTTCGTACCTGAACTTATAATGAATCAAATTTATTTCTCTCTCCCCCCCTCTCTCCCCCTCTCACTCTCTCTCTCTCCTTCTCTCTCTCTCTTTCTTTCTCTTTCTCCTTTTTTTTTTAATGACAAGCAGAAAATCAACCGTGAAGAATCGAGTTCGATATTTTTTTTATTCGAACGCATCGCATAAAAAAAAAAAAAAAAAATTGATTGGATGAAAAAAAAAAAAAAAAAAACGTTGAGGTTGAATTTTCTTTATTTTTTTATTTTTTTTTTTAAATTTTCCGGTAATAAAATTTATTGACTGCGGTAATAAATTATAATTTCGATTGCGATGAAGTCAATGTTATTAAATGAGAGAGTGAGAGAGACAGAGAGAGAATGGATGGAAATTAAATGTAAATCAAAAAAAAATTTATTATTACCCTCGTCGTCGTCGTCGTCGTCGTAGTAGGAACAAAAAAAATCAATTAATGACAACTAACAAATCGTTCAAATCAAAATTTAAACAATTGAATTTTTTTTTTAAAATTTCAATACATGAATTAATTAATAATTTATAAACAATTAATAATTACGTAATTTTTTTGTTGTTGTTGTTAATGAGATCAATTAAAAGTAATTAACGAACTCAACACGCACTTATGATCAAACATTCAATCAATTTAAAAATTAAAAAAAAAAAAAAAAAAAAAGAAAATTTTCTCGCAAGGATAATATGTAAAACAATATTAAATATTCTAATTTGATTTTTTTTTTTCATTGAAATAATAAAAGGTCAAAAGGTCATTCGCCATAGTTTTAATTTACAATCCGATTTCGTCGTTACGAAAATTATTATTAGTATTATTTAACGTCATTTTGTAAAAACTCGCGGGGAAAAATTAAATTTTTTTAAAAACATTCTATGGAATTTTTAATGGATTTCCGTTGGTAACACTGCCTCCTGATATTCGCAATTGGTATCAATGTGTGTAGTTTTCGATAATTAATAAAATTATTTAAAAAAAAAAAAAAAAAATTAATTAATTATTCTTCGGATCATGCAATTACAAACTGATAGATTTTTAAAAAAATTTTCCAGTTTTTCTCTCTCTCTCTCTCTTTAACTTTTCGACCCGAGTAGTAGTAGTAGTAGTTACTACTACTACTACTACTACTACTACTACTACTACTACTACTACTACTCTTTCATTAGGTCAAGGTTTTGACGGGGTTAAAATCAACATGAAACACATAACAAGGACTCAGAAAAAAAAAAAAAAACGTATGAAGAATATTAAAACGCGCGTAACCGCATAACCTTGCCATTACCGCTTTACTTTTTACTATATATTTAATTAATAAATAATTTATTCTTATTCCATCTTTGATTTTTTTCCCCTCTCTCCCTCTCCCTCCCCCTCCCTG